CCTGGTGCCCGCCCCGCTCCCGTCCGCGCCGCTCGTGGCCCCGGCGGCGCCCGGTGCGGAGCGGAGCCCCGGACAGGAGGCGGCTCCGAGCGGGCCGGGGCCGCTCCGCTCTGCCCTGCCCTGAACCGCTGCCGTCGCTCGGAATCCGCTGCTGCGGCGCGGAGCCTCCTGCGCTCCCGGTGCCTCCCCTCTCGAGCCCCGTTCCCAGCCCGTTGAGGCTGCTCTGCGCGCGGAGCCGCTCCCTGCGCACGACGTCCACGCTCGAGAGCGCAAGGATGGCGACGGTGGCCGTGCCCGTGACCGATGCTGCTGGCTGTCATCCACCGCCGTGACCGTCTCTCCAAGCAGGCCCGCGGTGCCCGTGGTACCCAGGGTGCCCAAGCCGAGCCCGGCTCATTCCAGCTCGGGGGGCAGCTGGGGACCGTGGCCGGACACCGGGAGCTGCAGGTGCCACGGCCAGTCCCCTGGCTTCCCAGCAAGGCTCGGCTGCTCTGGGAAGGACACTCYGCTTCCATGGCCTTTTCCCAGCACAGCCATCAGGGACGGGACTGTGAGGACCCTGGAGAGCAGCAGGCGGGTGGGTTGTGTCCCCCCCAWGTCCCCTCGGTGCTGCCTGCACGTGGCCAGATGCTCTCCTGGTGCTGGCCCAGCACCACTGCAGTGCTCAGCAGCCGGGAGGCTGATGCCGATGGCACGTCRTGGCACAAGGGGTGTCCCCAGGCTGGGAGCAGAGCTGGCCCTGCTCCCTCTGAGTGACACAGGGCTCAGGTCCGGCAGGGGTGACRTCCAGGCTGGGTGGTCCCCTCCTGGCCAGCAGCACCTGTGTCTCCCAGGAGGTGTCTTGGCACCACAGAGATTTATTCCAGGTGACATAAATCTCCTGAAGCAGGAYGGGGATGCATGGGAACAGAATTGGGATAGAAGACAAGGATGCAGGCTAGGGATGCAGGACGGGGATGCAGTGCTGTATGGTGACAATATGGAGGTGCAGTGCTGAACAGGACACGAATGCAGGACAGGGATGTGGGATGGAGAGTTGGGATGTGGATTCAGGATGGAGATGCAGGATGGGGATGCAAGGTGGGGATGTGGGACAGGGATGTGGGACAGGAATGTGGGACAGGAATGTAGTGCTGCACACGGACAGGATCATGGTCACAGTGTTGAACGGTGACAGGATGGGGATACAGAATAGGGATTCGAGATGGGAATGTGGGACAGAGATGTGGGACAGGGTTGCAGTGCCCTGGCACGGGACAGGATGGGGATTCAGTGCTGAACAGGAATAGGACAAGAGTGCAGGACGGGGATGCAGGACAGGGATGCAGGATGGATGCACAGTGCTGCACAGGAACAGGACAAGGATGCAGGATGGATGCACAGTGCTGCACT